GTGTAATACATGTTGCAAAGAAACCTATATAAAAGTGAATAATTTTAAAAGGCAAGATTGGTAATTGGCGTTTTGATTTCTCCAGCTTTTTGAAGACTCCTACGACAGAAATATGATAAACTTCATGCTTGTGATTAAAGCTGATTTCCATACCCAAAAATCCTTAGTTTTAGCTCACTGCCAATGTTATTACTGATAAGGTCTACGTACACATTACACCCGTACCTGCCATGTACACACACACAAAACACCTGCCATACATACACCCAAGACTTTCCTTACATCCATGCATATGGATGTAATTGCAATTGTCATTCATACATCCATATATACACACGCCTGAAATGCATACCAACCACACATACCAACATCCATATATATCCACGCCTGCCATAATTTACATACATCCTTACTCACATACCCACGCCTGTCATATACACGCATCCGTACACACATACCCACACTTGCCATAATATACACACATCCATACACACATACCCACGCCTGTCATATACACACACCCTTACACACATATCCATGCCTGTCATATACATTCATCCGTACACACATACCCACGCTTGCCTTGCATATATTTCTGACCACACCTGAGCTACCCGCCCACAAGGAGAAGGTGGGCGGGCGGGAGGGCGTGACAGAGGTGGGGAGAATCCGCTTTTCCGTCCCTAAGCTTTCGTAGGTCACGTGATGCAACAGTATAGGTGGGGGGGATGGGGCGCTGGACGGGTCGAAGAGAGGTTTAGTGGGGAAACTCGAGTCTAATTGGGAGTCGTGATATTTATTCGGGGTTTATCCCCGTGGGGAATAGTGGGGGAGGGGAAGGGAAGGGGTAGGTGTTGATCTCCAGGATATCCGGTGATTTTCCGTCTGGCGTAAGCTCGGCTGGTGACACCCAAGGATGCCTACGTTCTCTCTGTCTCTGTTTCTGTCTCTGTCTGTCTGTCTGTCTGTCTTCTCTCTCTCTCTCTCTCTCTCTCTCTCTCTCTCTCTCTCTCTCTCTCTCTCTCTCTCTCTCTCTCTCTCTCTCTCTCTCTCTCTCTCTCTGTCTCTGGATTATTAAACTATCTCTTTTCTATCTGTTTCTCTTTCATTCGTTCTTTGTCCAGTTAATCATAAAGAGAAAATTGTATAATAGGGTAATTTGAGTGTGGAATGGCGTGCGTGTGTGCGTGTGTGCGGACGTGGTCACGGGCGTGAGAGATGGGCGTGGTAGCACTGCGGCCGCGGGGTGAAAGGTCGGCCTGTGATAAGACTGAGAGGGTTGCGTCACGGCCTGTCTGTTGCGCCCGTGACAGGCAGCGTGACGGCGATTTCGTTCGCGTCACGCCCGTGGAAAAATGCGCAGGTGACTGAGGCGGCCTTGGCGTAACTGCAACTCAGTGTTTATTTTGATTATGTATTTTGGTATTGTTTTATTTATTTATTCATTTATTTTTTTGGGGTGGTGGTCTTATTTTTTTGAAGGACGTATGTGTTCGGTTTTCTGTGATTGGAAGGCATACATACTCTCTCTCTCTCTCATCTCTCTCCTCTTCTCCCTCCCTCCCTCTCTCTCCTCCCCTCTCTTCTCTCCTCCCTCTCCCTCCCTCTCCCTCTCTCTCTCTATCTCCCCCTCTCGATCTCTCACACTCGCTCACGATGTGGCTCTGCGTCCCCGAGAACTGCCCGGCCCCGTCCCCGTTCAGCTGGATTGGTCAGGTGTTGCCCCGAGACCCGCAGAACAAGCAGAACGAAAGTGTGTCCTCTGATAGGCCTTTATCGGGGCACTCTGTCTCCTTGCTCATGTTATAAAAAAGTGCCATTGAAGGATGTGAAGGTAAACGTCCGTGTCTGGAAGGAACTTGTTTTCACAGCGTCTCTCAGGTCTGGAGAACAGTGCTATTCGAGAGCGTTCACCACACACGCACACACCACATACACACACACAACACACACAAAAAAAAAAAAAAAAATCAGCATATCACATTTTATCAAATAATTCCCCGGTGCATTGGCGTGTCCTTCGGCGTGTAGCTCCACGAGGGGCCTAACGCTACGTAAGGAACAGGTGCCTGCTTCCCCCAAGGCGGCTGCCCACTCCCGTCTTCTTGGTCGTATCTGGATTCTGTTTTTGTTATTATTTTTTGAGTTTTTGTCCTTGTCTGTGTAATTAGGGCTTCATCGTCAGTCTCCCCTTTCTTGCTTTCTTCTTCCTCTACTTTATCTTCACATTTTTTTCTTCTTGTTCTTTTCTTCCTCCTCCTCCCCCTCCTTCTCCTACTTCTCCTCTTCTTCATACGTGCTTTTGTGCATATGTTCATTTGCATGTGTATGTCCCTCAGTGTGCGTGTACGATACATGCTCGTGTGCGCACACGCATTCAGTTACAGTATAGTGAAGCGTCGTCGGAACGCAGGGCCCTCCGCGATGGCAACACCGAGGCCCGGGATCCCCCAGACTGTTGCGTCATGATGAGGCGAAGGATCGAGTCCTGCGGCGGCGGTGGTGAGGGCGCTTCTGAGAGAGAAGGGTGGGGTCGAAGGGAAAGAGGGAGGGGGAAGGAGACGAGGGGAAGGGCGAAAGGGAAGGACGGAGGGAAAGTCGGAAGGCAAAGAGGAGGGACGAAGTGAAAGAAGAGGGAGGGACGAAGGGGAAGGAAGGAAATGGAGGGACGAAGACGAAAGAGGAGGGAGGGACAAAGGGGAAGAGAGAGGAGAAGGCGAAGGCGGATGAGGAGGAGACTAGGTAAAAAGGAAGGGAGGGAGAATAAAGAAGGGAAGAGGGACGGAAAAGAGGAGGGGAGGAGCGAAGACGGAAGAACGGGAAAGGGGTGGAAAGAAGGAGTGACAAGGCAGACAAGAAATTTCAAGAAAGAAGGCAAGAGTCGGAGGCGGGCAGGTGGACGAGGAGGGGGAAGGAGGGGGGAGGAAATGCAATATAAGCTTCATTCTTATAAGATTGAAGGTCGACTTCAGGGAATACCGCGGGACCGCTTGGGCGTTCCTTGCCCCTCCCCCTCCCCCTCCCCCTTCCTTATTCTACCGGGCCCCCTCCCCTCCTCGACACGCACGATCCCTATGACGTCGCATTGGTTCTTGGGGGAAGTGAAGGGGATTGAGAGGGACGCGGAGCAGGGGGATCGAATGCGGCACCGAGAGGAGAGAGAGAGAGACTCATAATCCCCCCTCCCCCCCCCCCGCCCTCTCCCCACTCCCTCACTATACCTATCACACGCAGAAACATGTAGTATGAGAAGAGGGATAAGCGACCGCCCCAGCCCCTCCACTCACCCCCCCCTCCCCCCCCAACGACCCGCCCCCCCCTCCAATGTATGTGCTGGATTATGTTCTGAAGTATACCCACCGGGGTACT